GAAAATGAATATTTATTGAATTTGTAATATATTTCTGACGTTTTTCATGTAATCCTTTCTCCACCACTGGAATGTAAGTTACATGAGATATCTTGCACCTGGTTTGTACTACTACACATGCCTGGCACATAGTAGGGTCCTTAGTTAACGTTTATTAAATGAAATCTCATTATTATAGATGGAAGTTGAGTAACTTCCCAAGGTGGAGCTGGGTTCTGATAAATATTTATTGGATAAAGGGATGAAGAAATGGGTATTACATTCCCATTTTAGAGAAGAGGAAACAGCTGGTGGGAGATCAAAGATTTCCTGACCCTTGAGTGTGGACCTTTCCACGGCCACACTACGGGGCCTCATATACCCTTTGGGTGTGTTTGAGGACGCCTAGGGATTTGATGCTCCTCATCATATGATGTGCCATAGTTTGTAAAAATCCTGGCTACTCAGAGAAAGATCTAATGGTAGATCAGGTTGTGATGCTTTAGTCACAAGATCCGAAATTTTTGTCTTCATGAAACTGCATAGCCTTACAGCATTCATTTTATCTTATTTGCCCAAGGTCACATGGCTGTAAAGGATGGAAACAAAACGTGAACTCAGTCTTCCCACACCAGAGTCCCTGTTCGTTCCCCTACTCAGGGGTTTTTAACCTGTGGCACAAGGTCTGTTGGGGGGGGGTCTCCTTCTTCCCCCACACTGTGTGCTTAGGAGCAGGTGCATTTTTCGGGAGAAAGGGTTCATAACTTTCATTATATTCTCCAAAGGGCTCATGATCCAAAGGCTTACTTTAACTTTATCTTAATATCTTTTTCCGTTTTTTTTTTCTTTAAAAAACCCAAATTTATTCTCTCACAGTTCTGGAGGCTAGAAGTCCAAAATCAAGATGTTGGCAGGGCCACGATCCCTCTGAACTTCCTCTCTAGGGAAAAGTCCATTCCACGTCTCTTCTAGCTTCTGGTGGTTGCCAGCTTCTTTGTCTTGTGACCACATCACTCCAGCCTCTGCCTCCATCTTCACACTGCCTTCTCCCCTATTATTGTTATTTTAACTTTTATTTTTAAAATTGCTTTTAGATGAGTAGAAGGAAGGAAGAAGTGGGGGAAGGGGACTGTAGAGAAAAAACAGATGCCGATTTTTGTTTCCAAGGTTTCAAGGGAGAGAAAGCTAACAACATGACTAAAAAAGGCCAAAATTAAGGATGTTGAGGCAGGATCAGAATCCAATCTTCTGGCACCAATTCCAGGGCTCCTTCTGGCTCCCATTACTATTCACTCATTCAGTCATTGATTCAGTAAATTTGTATTGAGCACCTGCTACGTTCCTGGTACGATGCCAGGCTCTGGGAATGCTGCGGTCGCAAACCCTGGCATCAGAGAGTTCATATTCTAGCAGGGAAGACAAACAAATAATGATGACGACGACTATTATGTCCAGTGCGACGAAAAAATGACGTCACAGAGCGGGGAGGTACGGGAATCGCATTTGAGATGGGGTGTTCTGAGCTCAGAACCTCCAGTTACTGTCTACGGACGGCAACGAAGCCAGCGCTCCCGGATGCCAGAGCGCGCTCCCTAAACCTTTCCCGCTTAGCCTCGCTTAGCCTCACCCGGGTGCGGACTGTACGGAGAGAGGGGCGCGCACACGGAAGGTGCAGAGCGCATGCTCTCTTAAGATCGGTAGCGCCGAGGCTTTTGATAGTACGCAGGCTCCTCCAGGGACGGCGAGAAGGCTCCGCCCAATAGGTGCTTACTCTTGAGGTTGTGGTCCCGCCCCCCGGCCCATTCTCTACTTCCGCTTCCGGCGCTGAGGCTGTGCAGGTCGAAAATGGCGGTCGCGGTTGTGTCCCGGGTTTCGGGGCTGCTGGGTCGGTCCGGGGCACAGCTGGGGCGGTCCATGTCGAGTGGCGCCCACGGCGAGGAGGGCTCAGGTACTGGAGCTGCGGTCGGCGTGGGGGGTCTCCCGTGGGGGGGGCGAGGCGGGGCAGGACTGTGACCTTGGCTTGGGGCCTTGAGGGAGCCGGGTGAGAACCGGGGCGGGCGCCACACCAGGTCTGAGCGGTCGTGCCCCCTTCTGCAGCTCGCATGTGGAAGGCCCTCACCTACTTCGTAGCTCTTCCTGGCGTGGGAGTGAGCATGCTGAACGTCTTCCTGAAGTCGCATCACGGAGAGCACGAGAGACCCGAGTTCGTCGCCTACCCCCATCTCCGCATCAGGTCCAAGGTACGCCTGTGTAGGCTCTTCGACTGTCCGTTCTCCTTTTATTACAGGTGTCTGGTGCAGGGTCTTCATTCTCGAAAAACCTGTGTGCCTGGCGTGGACAACAGTTTCTCATTTAATGCTCACAAATAAAATTTTATTTTCTCCGGTTTTATGTAAGGGTAACTGAGACTTGGGGGTCACATCTGTTTCTCTTCTTCAAGGTCATACAATAAGTGCCCTGCCTTATTGTACGATCCCCCCCTCTGTCTTCTGTGCTGTTCTGAAACTGTTGGTTGTATGACTTGGAGGTTTGGGAATCTCCCTTAGGGAGGCAAAGCCAAAAGGTGATTCACCTTTCTAGGACCTGGGCATCTGACAGGGTACCAGCTGCGTAATGAAGAGACTAGCGACTTCTGTTTTTATTTCTGCTTGTTATCTTCTCAACTGTTTTGTCCTTTGTTGTTGATGTAGATGTAATCATTCATTTTCTGTTGCTTGTTTTAAGCATTCTTAACAAGCGGCCCTTCTGACACTTTAACTGTTACATCATTTAGCTCAGGTAGGCTGGCTTTATAGAAGCTTAAGCTAGATTCTTAGATTCAGAAAGAATTTTTGAGTCTGAGCCCCCCTCCCACCCTTGTACAGTAGAAGCCATATAGCAGGATTTCTCAACCTCAGAACTATTGACATTTGGGGCTGGATAGTTCTTGTTGGGGCAAGGGGCTATCCTGTGAGTCTTGGGATTTTTAACAGCATCCTTGATCTGTACCCACTAGCTGCCCTCCCCCAGATGTCTCCATATACTGCCCAATACCCCTGGAGGGGCAAAATCATCCATGGTTGGAAACCACTGCCCTAGAGCAATGCTTTTCAAAGGGAGCATGTGAAATAATTGAGGAGGGTAGGTTGCAGTTTCCGATCCAGAGATTTGTTTTTCTGGAATGAAACCCAGAAGTCTGCATTTAAATAAGCATCTCCTCCTCCATATCCACGTCTTCCGTTCTGATACAGGTGATGTGATTCGTAAAACACATTTTTTTTGGTAAGACTTTGCCAGGTATTTTCTGTCGCATACCCTGTATCTTAAGCAGGTGATGGCAGTACTGTTTCTAAACTCTTTTCTGGAATTGCCTAATTGACATCTTCACTCCACAGCCCTTTCCCTGGGGAGATGGTAATCATACTCTATTCCATAACTCTCATGTGAATCCACTTCCAACCGGCTATGAAGATGAATAAAGAGAACCTCGACCACTACCCAGTGGGGACCACAGCGCTGGTTTGGACCATGACTCTGCACACGGACCAGAAAAGCATATGGGACCTTAAACTCCCCTTCCTTACTTGTATCAAATGATGACCAGTATACTGATCTTCCATCCATTTGCTTATGGCAGAAGATGGCTTAAATAAATAACTTCCATTGGTCCATGAGCTGAGAATTGCGTTCTTTGGTCGTGTTTTTCCCTCCAAAATCAGCATTGTTATTTCTGTTTCTGCTGTGAACGTTTATGGCTGCCATTTATAGGCCTGTAGAAAGTGTTTATAGGGATGCCTGGGTGGCTCAGTCGGTTGAGCGTCCAACTTCAGCTCAGGTCATGATCTCACGGTTCGTGGGTTCAGGCCCCGCATCGGGCTCTTTGCTGACTGCCAGCTCAGAGCCTGGAGCCTGTTTCGGTTTCTGTGTCTCCCTTCTCTCTGACCCTCCCCTGCTCACGCTGTCTCTCTCTCTCTGAAATAAATAAAATAAAACATTTTTTTTTTAAAGAAAAGAAAGTGTTTATAATAGACTTGTCCTTGGTTTCTTTTTCTTTTTTTAATTTAAAAAAAATTTTTTAATGTTTTATTTTTTTTTTTTTAATTTTTTAATGTTTTTATTTATTTCTAGGAGAGAGAGAGAGAGACAATGTGAGCAGGGGAGGGTCAGAGAGAGAGGGAGTCACAGACTGAAACAGGCTCCAGGCTCTGAGCTGGCTGTCAGCACAGAGCCCGACGCGGGGCTCGAAACTACGAACCGCGAGATCATGACCTGAGCGAAAGTTGGACGCTTAACCGACTAAGCCACCCAGGCGCCCCTTTAATGTTTTATTTCTGAGAGACAGCGTGAGCAGGGGAGGGTTAGAGAGAGAGGGAGATACAGAATCTGAAACAGGCTCTAGGCTCTGAGCTGGCAGTCAGCAAAGAGCCCAGTGCGGGGCCTGAACCCACGAACCGTGAGATCATGACCTGAGCTGAAGTTGGATGCTTAATCGACTAAGCCACCCAGGTGCCCCTTTTTAAATCTTTTTTTTTTTGAGAGGGCGCAAATGGGGGGAGGGGCAGAGAGAGGGAGAGACACAGAATCTGAATCAGGCTCTGGGCTCTAACCCGTCAGCAGAGCCCAATGCGGGGCTCGAACCCACAAACTGCGAGATCATGACCTGAGCTGATGTCACACATTTAACTGACTGAGCTGCCCAGGTGCCCCTGTCCTTGGTTTCTTATGCCTGGGGTGGGTAAAGTGAAGAGACCATGAGTGGAGCTAATTTAAGTATCAAGATTGGGTCCTGAGAGACTCTGGGTGGCAAAGATATTGACTGGCCAGTAGAATACCTGCAGTTTACATCTGAAAGCAGTATCTTTGATTCTCCAGAGGAAGTGCTTCCTGTGTCCTAGCTTTCTCTTGTCCCATTTCACCAGCTGAAGAATACTCAGATAATTTTCTCCAAGGAATCAAGTTCACATTCTTACTTGGGGTCACCTCTCAGTACCCTCAAGGCTGGAATGGTCAAACTTTTGGAGAAATCAAGGCAGCATGACACATTTCTGTATATACCATTGGCTTTATTTGTTTCTGGAATTAAAACCTTCCTGTAGCATTAAGAATTAAGGAGAAACAATAGTAACAAAGTCACCCTTAAAAAGCAATTAATTCTTCTCCAAAATTTAAAATCTTTGAAGTAGCCGAGATAGTTGGAGTCACTTTATGGAGTGGATAAAGCCAAAGAAGAATGAAGAACAATCAGAAAAAATTATTCCCGCAGTAGCAATTACAATAAAAGAACGTGGTTGGCTTGGAGCTGGTTTTATTCTTAAGGCTCAACCAGACAGTTTTGTAGTAAGATTCAAGAGGCTACCAGGTTTTGGTATTGCATAGTACACAGAGTAAACTAGTACCACAGAGGTGAGGCATATGGGAACACAAGGCATGAAAGCCATTTACAGTCGGGAAAAAAGGATCCCTGCTATCTTTACCATTTAGTGATCTAACCACAGCCTGTGCATGTGCTTCCAAATCAGTCTGGAAGTGTTGTGCCTGCGGCCAGGCTGAGGTCAGAAGATGTACTTAACTTTGGCTTGCTGCCAGGCATCCCTCAACTGGGTTCCAATGATCTCTTCTAATCCTTGTATAATGGACTGTAACCAGTCAAAATATAAATGTAGAATGTCGTGACATGACGTTAAGGACTGGTCATGTTAAATACAAAGTAGTCATTGGTAAACTGAATAGGATAATAGAATCTTTGCCTTCTGTAAACTGTTTCATACTATTGGGTATATATATGTGAACCAAATTACTCAGTAGGTGCAATTTTGGTGATAGCCTGACATTCCAAAGTATGTAAATGCTCACCTGATCCTGGCATTTTTTTTGTGCAGTTATATAAGCATGGTAGTTACTTGTGTACCTTACTGTGGGAATAAACTTTAGATAATCAGTGAGGTTTCTAACTGTTATAGCACACTATTTAGCTTAGATAAATCTTCATTTTTCACCTGTAAATTATAAAAAACCCCAAAACCCTCCCTTAGTGTATATATGGGATATGTGTGGTTACAGTGTAATGGCTGTTCCATAAAGTGCCCTGGGTTCTCCAGGGGGCAAATAATGAAACTAGAGGTTACAATTTACTCCATTTTCATGATTACACACATTACAGGGCAGGGTGGGTAGACAAGGCAAATAAAGCAAACTCTTTTCCCCTTTAACCAGATGCAGCATTTTGGCAGTTTTATGATGATACAAGTTGGCTTAACTGACTCGGGTTGAAGGCTGGCAACAGCAAATCTTTGCAATTTAGGATGTTCCTCCATAGTTACTCCAAGAATCTTAATCCCTAAACTACACTATGAGCTCTGAAACGGTTTTTACTGCAACACTCTTCAAGCTTTCACATCTTAATCTGAAATCTGACATCTCTTCTTAAGGCAGGGAACTCTGTTAAAGCTATTTTCCTCTTGGCTAACCCAGTCCATCAGCAATCTTGACAGTTATTATATAAAAATAAAGCCGTGCTCCCAAGCATTGATTAAAACTTGTGCTGGGAACCCTTTTCAGAGCATTAGCTCCCTGAGAGCAAAGAGATCCTAACCGACTGCTTCCATGAATAACCCCAATACAATGTACCTAATGTCCTTCAGAGCAACCCTGATCATCCTGACAAGTCTATCAGTGTTCACATACAAAGGATACTTAAAGCTGATCCCAGACCAAGTACTGCAACCATAATCCCAAGAAATCATTGTTTTAGCACACAAAGTTCAGCAAGATGCCAGAGTAAGTGAGAAATCATCTCAAAGCAAAGAGTGACGGTTCGTCCTCTTTTACAAGTGAGAGGAAATTAAGGAGGAAAGAAAACTCCTCCCTCTTAAACTCATCAAATCGATGGCTATTTTCACAGCCTTAACTGATGAAATCCAGAGTCCTCTGTTTCCTGATTCGAGGAGTCCATTTTCAAGGTGACTGTCAAGGTCAAGAAGAGCTTTCAGGCTTTTCTTTGCCATGGCCCATGAATTCCAGTCCTTCAATAGGTATCTCCTTCTCCTTTATTGCTTTCTGATAGGAGGAAAAATACATGATACAGGTCTATATGAAGCTTGAGGACCAAACTTTGTAAATATGATGGTATAGAAGTAAATCCGATTGGACTAATAAATACCCACCCAACCATGACTCAAGACCTGTACTTATTTTGTTTTTAATATTTTATCTATTTCTGAGAGAGAGAGAGAAAGCGTGAGCAGGGGAGGGTAAGAGAGAGGGAGATACAGAATCTGAAGCAGGCTCCAGGCTCTGACCTAGCTGTCCGCATAGAGCCCGATGTGGGGCTCGAACCCATGAACTGCGAGATCATGACCTGAGCCGAAGTCGGATGCTCAACCGACTGAGCCACCCAGGCGCCCCACAAGACCTGTACTTTTTAAAACCTGAGTACCATTATGAAGAAGTTAAATGTAAGACTACAGAGAGAATGGAAGGGTGTTGTGAGGAAACGTCAAGATTCAAACATGGAGTTTAAACAGTATCTCCACTCTACTGTGACAGACACAAATTAAAATCTGCGTCCCAGGACTTACTGACTGTAACCTTAAGCAAGCTTCATTTTGCCATCTGTAAATAGGAAAAAGACAGCAACTTGGAATTACCCCGTGGACGTTTTAAATTAACTGCTAGTACTGTGCCCAGTGCCATGCTTACAATCTAATTCATTGACCTGGAATGAACATTTCCTAGCTGGTTGGCAGCTCAGAAATCAAAGAGGCCGATGAAGAAATCAGAACAACAAAATGAGACCTTCCATGTCTCACAGGCCAGAGACACTTAACACCGCGCTTCCTCCTCCAACGTTAATAGTGGAATAATGCACGACCGCAAAAATCAAGGAAACGATTCTGGCGAACTTGCATTAATCACTTCCTGTTTGGGGGCCTGAGTGTACCACGTACAAAATAAGAACTATGCCCACTTTGCGAGTTTAGGATGAGCGCCAAATGAACCAAAGGATGCACTGTGCTCCGTAAGATGTAAAGCACTGCAAAAAATACTTCACTTTGTCATTCAGGGACATACCAGGCGGCCTGGTAGTGATGGTGGGGAGACAGCTCCTGCCACTGCCCTCACTGAGGCGTCTATTCGCCCTCCCCATTCCAACCCCCCGCAAGACACTACGCGTGTGGCCCGGGACGTCTTAGGCCAAGAGGCCACTTGAGGGCTCACCTGAACGCACTGCTGGTAGCGCTTGAAGAGGTCGGTGCACGGGTCCCCGGAGCCGTCCCCCTTGAGGAACTTCTCGGCAAACCAGCGGTTAAAGCACTGGTCGTACTCGCGCTTCATGTCAGTACAGGCCTCCCCTACGCTGTTCATGGCGGCGACGACAGTGGCGGCGCGCTCTGATGTCGTCACTCTTAAGCGCGTCCCTCGACTTTACGCGAGGACGCGTTACGGCGGCCGAGGAGAGAAATGTGGGCGCGGGCGGTGTGGCTGGGCCGTGGGTCCTGGATGGGCTGGCGCCGGGGCTTCACCTCCAGGGCGGATCCTCAGGTAAAGGCCGGGGATGTCTGGGCGGGTGGTGAAGCTGGTCAGGAGACGGAGCGGGTCCCCCCCACCTGACCCCCATCCCCCGCCTCATCCGCCCAGGGTAATAGCCGTGTCACCGCCAAGGTGATCGAGCACCTGGAGCGTCTAGCGCTTGTGGACTTCGGCAGCCAAGAGGCCGTGGCACGACTGGAGAAAGCCATCGCCTTTGCCGACCGGCTCCACGCGGTGGACACGGACGGGGTGGAGCCCATGGAATCAGTACTGGAGGACAGGTAGACACTCGAGGCCGCGTACCCCGAACCCTTGTCTGTTGCGCCTTCGCAGCCATTTGAGGTGGCGGTTATTAGTGTGTCCTTTCACGGAAGGGAAAAGGGCTTAAGCCAATTGCAAGAACTTGCCCACGGTCCCCCCGCGGGGTAAGCGGTTTCATTTCTTTCCCTTGTTCGTTCTGGATCCTCTCACTCTCGGTTTAAATCCTCCAGGCCTCCCAGTGTAACAAGAACAATGTTCGAAATGATAACCACCTCAAGGCCCTACTTCAGAGTCCCTGCCTACCCCTCGGACATACTGCTCTACAGCAGCTATATTAGCTGCCTTACTCTTTCTCCAGCATTCCAGATCCGTTCCTTGTGTAGGATCTTTGTGTTTGCTATTCTTTTTTTTTTGGATAACCTGTCTCCTTGGCATCTGCCTTCTGTAAGTCCTCTCCTTCTCCAAATGTCCTCTCCCTTTCCAAATCACTGACTCCTTATCTTGTTGGATTTTCTTCTATTTCTTGATTATCTCATTTTTGTTGACTTGTCCCTTGTTAATAGAATGTGAGCTCATGTTTGACTTGCTTACTTACTGGATCTTTGTCTCAAAATATGCCCTGCACATATTTTCTGACCTAGTGACCCCTATGGAAATATCTGTAAAAGTGCATCAAGGTGTATGCAGGAGTATTCAGGGTATCCAAATCTGTTTACAATACAAAACAAAAACAATAATAACAACAAAAAAGCCAAGAAGGGGCACTTGGCTGGCTCAGTCGGCATATGATCCTTGATCTCTGAGGTCATCAGTTGCAGCCCCAAGAAGTTTAGAAAATAGATAATTTTTTAAAAAAATTTAGGGGTTCCTGGGTTGCTCAGTTGTTTGGGTATCCGACTTTAGCTCAAGTCATGATCTTGTGGTTCATGAGTTGGAGCCCCACATTGGGCTCTCTGCTGTCAGCACAGAGCCCACTTCAGATCCTCTATCTCCCCCTCTCTCTGCCCCTCCCCTGCGCACATGCTCTCAAAAACTTCTTCACATCCTTTCTCTATCTTGTAATCTGATGATCAGATCTACAGAACTCAAACAATTTTCCCAAAATTACATAGCATTTCAAAATAGCAATCTGATGTCATTCTCTTACCCAAGATTTCAGGTGGCTCTCTGGTGTTCTTTAGGTTAAAGTCAAAAGCTTCATCAGAGCCTGCAACACATCATTTAACCTAGCCCCTGCCCACCTCCAAGACACGGCTGTCACCTTCAGTTCCTTTAGCTCTCCATTCTTTTTCCTTCTTGGGACTCTGGGCCTTTGCCTTTATCCTTACCTCATCCCTCCCATGACTCTCTTTTGCTTAATTTCCTTTCTTCTTCAGATTTCAACTGCCTCTTCAGGGAGATTTTCATTCTTCTCTATCACGTCAGGTTCCCTTTCAGGACCTGTCTTTCATGATATTCAATAGAGCTATAATTTTACATGTGTTCATACATATCTAAGTCATATTTACTTATTTTAATTAATCTCTACACCCAACATAGGGCTTGAACTCACAACCCTGAGATCAAGAGTCCTTGTACTCTACCAACTGAGCCAGCCAGGAAACCCCTATTTGTAATATTTGACTCTCTGCCCCTCTCCTACTGCTGATCCATGTTCCAGGGAGCAGATTTATTGTTGCTCATCTTGTTCTCAGTATCTAGCACCGAGCAGTCAGTAAATGTGGAATATTCTTTATTAATAATATCTTTAGGAAAGGAACAAATAGAAGAACAAAGAGGAGTCAGAATTTCCCTGATCATCTAGAGGGGAATTGTAAAGAAATGCAGCTATTAGTCAGGGAAGAATTTATGGAAAAGGGATTTGGATCTGGTAGCTGGAATAGTGACTTGGTATTCAGTGATGGGCAGTCTTGCCATAAACTAGATGTAGCCTTTATAGGACTTTCATGTTTTTGAACATACTGCCTCACTGATGTTTGAAATGGAACCCAGTTAAGACCAGCGTTAAACCATTTTAGGCCACACTAGCTGTAAAAGCGCTGACTGGTTTAGAAATCTCATGGCATATTAATACCTTTCTCTATCATTGGGTTTGGGCTAAAAGGCATTAGCACACTTACATGCCAGGTGCTAAGATTTCATAGTTTATCTCAGTTGTCACATATAAACCTGGAGAGTAAATACTAGTATATGCTTTATAGATGAAGAAAGCTTATGTAATATGCTATCCTACACCTTCACAGGTGTAGGAAGAGAATTCGGGACTTACTTGGAACTCAGAGCCTCAACTATCAAATACTGTTCTAGGTATGCCATCTAAAGTCAACCTCTAGAACCTTTATTCTCTCTCATCTCAACTCAGAATGGACTCAGATGATGACAGCTCTGACTGCAGCCATATACTTCAGTGCTTAGGCTGTCCCTCATAATCGTATTTGAACTGAAAATTCTTAGCCATGTTGATGAACTTTCATTCCAGTGTGCCTCAAACTAGAAATTGATTGGGAGGGAGGAAAAAGGCTTAAAGATGGAAATAGAGTGATGTCCAGAGAAACGATTCCTGGCAGCCCAAAACCAGCAGCAGAACTCTCATTAGGTCAGTACAAGGGCCGACAGAGGCACTTCTTCCTCAGTGCTGCCATAGTGCTTTCCATTAAACTGCTTTTTAGTAGCATCTCCCAGTTACTGGTTAAAGTGCCATGTCTATGAGCTTTACTTATTTTTTAATTTTTTTTAATGTTTTATTTATTTCTAGCAGAGAGAGAGAGACAGCATGAGCAGGGGAGGGTCAGAGAGAGAGGGAGTCACAGACTGAAACAGGCTCCAGGCTCTGAGCTGGCAGTCAGCACAGAGCCCAATGCGGGGCTCTAACCCATGAACCGTGAGATCATGACCCAAGCGAAAGTCGGATGCTTAACCAACTAAGCCACCCAGGCACCCCATTATTTTTTAATTTTTTAAAAATGTTTATTTCTGAGAGAGAGAGACAGCGTGAGCAGGGGAGGGTCAGAGAGAGGGAGACACACAATCTGAAACAGGCTCCAGACTCTGAGCTGGCTGTCAGCACAGAGCCCGATGCGGGGCTCGAACCCACGAACTGTGAGATCATGACCTGAGCCGAAGTCGGATGCTTAACCGACTGAGCCACCCAGGCGCCCCTACCATGTCTATGAGCTTTAGAAGGCAAGGATTTCTAGTTCATAGACTTTCTCAATCAGGATTTTTCATCTGAACCAGAATGCATAAAGATTCAAGTGACTTTTTTCAGTGCTTCCAAGAAGTACATAATTAATATTAGCCCAGAGGCATAGTTGACTTATTATCAAATTGGGTGTCCTATAGCATTTGGGCTTAATCCTCTTGTCAAACCCTGAGCGATGAGGTGAGGTAGACATTAAGTCAATCAGTAATTGAGAGGCATCTAAAAATTTTATCGGGTCCCATTTGGACTTCTGTATGTGATTCTGAGGTCAAGAAGTTAGGTGACTTTCAAGTGAACTACTGATGTGCCACCCTCACAGAGACCCTGGGTTCAGTAATCTATGATTATGACAGCAGTAAGGTGTGGGTTTCTTCTGGGAACTCCATCATAAACAGTATTTAGATAAAAATGTGTGGTATTTGAAAGAGTGATTTTTTTTTCCTGGAAACATCCCTTACATAGGAAACCGGATTACCAAATCAGTGAATAAATCCATTACTATTACATCTACTGTGGGGAAGCAGTAGCTTTTCACCACCACCTATTGGTGATAGCAGAGTCTTACTTCATCAAACTCTTCAAGTGCCCTGGGACACTTCGCAGTCTCCAGTCTATAGAGACTGGGCACATAATGCGTGATTACAGCAGGTTAAGTGCATAGGTGTACTCTGAGTGGTGGGACTGAGGTGTGCCTGGGTGTACTCTAAGGAGCAGGTGGTATTTGGCACCCATCTCTTACTGCAGTGAGAATGCAGGCCCAGCCGTTATCAGATCTTCAATATTTAATCTTCCCAGCAATTCTGTGAAGCATTCATTCCACAAATAAGGAAACAGGTATATGGAAAGGATAGGTAACTTGCAAATGTGCCATGTGTGACACTAAGATCTGAATTCAGCTGTGACTCAGGAACCCAAGCTCTTAGTCATTTTGTTATACCACTCAACAGAAATATAAACTCCAGAAGGTCCAGTGGTTACCTTTATAGTAATTTTTATTTTGTTCTCCAAGTCTTCTTAAGCCCCTGTATGGTTAAAAAAAAAAAAAAAAAAAAAATCCAAGTGCAACCTTCATTTTCCTGGCAAGAAAGTTTAGGTCTGGAAAGATCATGCTTTTTCAAGGCCACACAGTGAAGACAGTGCCAGATCCTGGAACAGACTCCAGCTCTCTACAGTCCATATCATGTTTATTGTGTCTAGCCCTAGGGTGGGTGCCACAAAAGAAACAGAACTAGTCCTTTCCTAAAAGAGCCTTACCATGACAGCTTAGCCCTCTGCAGCCTTTGCCTAGATGTCCATGTAAACGTCTTTGCCCTTTTGTCCTGTTAGGTTTAGCACTCAGTCCAGGTCTGGCTCAAAGCATAACGAGCTTGACTGCTCCCCTATCAGTGACTGAGTCTGCTTATTTTTCAGCTCAAGTATATGGAAGTAGACTCAGACATCTTGCCACGCACTTGTAAACCTTCAAACAGCAGTGAAGCCCCACAGATATGTTCAACTCCAGTTCTGTTTCACTAGCTTGCCATCTGGATACTTTAATGCGGCCACAGGCCCAGAGAACAGTGGGAGATTCTTGACTATGCAAGGGCAGATACTTTCATAAAGGTGGCTACAGGGAAAAAACTCTCTCATCTTAGGGGTACAAGGGGCACAGAACTGTGCTCAGACTCCAGTCCTGTCACTTAGGAGCTAATATCCTTAAGTCACTTATAACCACTCTTGATCAAGTTTCTTCACCTGCCTCAAAGCCCACTTATCCCACCAATCCAGTGGTTTCTTCCCCACCCTTTAGCAGTGACATCACCTATTCTGAATACCTGTTCCTCACCCAGGTGCCCCTTTCCATTCCCTTGGCAAGCTTCGCCTGTTAGACTTAACACATTTTATTGTAAATGCCTTACCAGTCTCCACCAAAAGCAGTTTACCCATAGTTGAACATACCAGTTCTGAGGAATAATTATCACTTACCTGAGTGGCTGAGAGAATCTATAAACTGGAGATTATTATTTGGTCTACTGTTGACAAGAAGTCCTCGATCTTTGAGCAGTAACCATAACTAAGAATATGCTATTTTTTCCCATCCTTGACCCTCTCCACCCATGCCTTAGAAACCTGTTCTCTGAGAAGGTAACCTTGAGCTTCTGGTTTTGTAGATGTCTATACTTGAGATCTGACAATGTGGTAGAAGGCAACTGTGTTGAAGAACTACTACAAAATGCCCATCGAGTTGTGGAGGAGTATTTTGTGGCCCCCCCAGGTAGGTGTTGCCCAAAGTGGTTTAACTGATTGTCCCTCAGTAAACTAAGAACACAGTAGGAGCTATGAGGCCCAAATCTGCTATATGAAAGTATTCTGAAAAGTAAAGTGGGAACTAGGTACAAACTTCAGTGTACAGCAGAATGACTATATTTTACAATACTGTACTCTATATTTGAAAGTTAATAAGAAAGTAGATCTTAAAAGTTCTCATAAGAAAAAAATTATAACTATGTGACATGATGGATATTAACTAATCTTGTGGTAATCATTCTGTAATATATACATATATTAAATCATTGTGTTGTACACCTTAACCTTATACAGTGTTGTATGTCAATTATATCTCAATAAAATTGGACCTAATGAAAAAAAAACATATTTATTAATAGTGGGGGAAAAAAGTATAAAGCAAATACAGGTGGTGGGACTAAGATGGCAGTAGAGCCCAGGGGTCATATTTCCTTCTAGGGACCAGTCTGTAATAGGAATGAACAAAAAGGGCCTGTGGTGGGGAGGGGTGTATCCAGTGGCACATCTGGAGCTCAAACTCTGCCTAAAGAGGCAACTGGCATTCACTGCTCCTCATTCAGGGCCCAGCAGTAATGTGAGCCTATTTTCCCAGAGAACCCAGACATCTGGCTTTTTTGTGTGTCAGGGTTCTTTCCCAAATTTTAAGCATGGGAACTAATTCAAAGATTAAAAAAAAAGACACCACGTAAACATACCTGCACGCCAGATGCATCCTGAGAGCCATCAGTTTGCAACCCTGAAGTTGAGATTTGCATCTTTAATATTTACTGTGCCTATTTTAAATGAAAACTTAAAAATAACTCTGGGCCAATAATAAAATCCAGAATCCTGGGTGGGTTGAACGTTTTATCTCCTCTACAGATGGGTGGGTCTTCAGAATGCAGAACTGCTGCACCCTTCCGGACATGTGGGGATATGAGCTTGAGCACTCAGGTAGCTGGTTTTCCAAGTGCAAGCTTCACATTCAGATCACCTCAGAGGAGAACCATTCTAAGTAGCCTCAGAGACAGACAGCCACCCGCCACCTGCCCCCCCCAACCGGCGCAGGAATTACCTCTTTGATCAAGACCAGTCAGTTAAAGGAAAGCTCTGGTTGAAGCAAGTATGGGAAAGCAAGCTTAAAAAATTGTGGGCTTGGGATGCCTGGCTGGCTCAGTTGGTAGAGCATGTGACTTTTTTTTTTTTTTTGAGAGGGAGAGAATCTTAAGCAGGTTCCACACCCAGTGCAGAGCCCAACACTGGGCTTGATCTCACAACCATGAGATCATGACCTAAGCCAAAATCAAGAGGTGGACACTCAACCGACCCAGCCACCCAGGCATCCTGAGCACATGTGACTCTTGATCTCAGGGTCTTGAGTTCAAGCCCCTCATCCAGCACGGAGACTACTTAAAATAAAAATTAAATAAGAAAAGAAAAGAAAAAAAGTGTGGGCTCAACTCTTAATTAGGCTTGATTCACTAAACTACCTCAGATTAACTGTGGAGAGAAAAGATTCTATAATCTCTCTCAGAGCCTGAGAGTTGTCACTGTTTTAGCAGACCTTTCTTTCTCAAATAGAACTTTGTGTCAGACTTTGCTTTTTGGGACAAAGTGAATTCACAATCATTAATGTCCTTCCTTCCACTCCTATATGCACATAACTGGCTAACCTATCTCTGCTCCTTATTGAAAAGTATGCATTTATTAGGCTTCACTTGTAACTGTTATTCTTTCAGACCCTCAGAAAACAGGGTAGTAGCTACACCTATTTGCATTGCTTATTTTTCATGACAAACCAAGTGATAAGTTAGCTCGTTTGAGCCAGTTGGGAAACAGGCTCAGCTATAACATCATTTTTTGTTACTGTTTTCAAACAGGTAATATCTCTTTGTCAAAGCAGGATGAACAAGAGCCCTTTTCCCACAACTGACTAGCTATTCGCGGAAGTCCAAAGATAGTATTTTGTTACTATGAACACTGATGTTTCCACTTTCTTCGGTCACCTGAAAAAAACTGATGGTTAAGTATTTTTCAGTAACTAACTCTCTGAAGACAGAATTGGGAAATATCTAGCCAAAACAAGGCAATCAGTTCCTGCTGCAACTGGAAGTAAAAGGTATTGTCACTTTCTGAGGAAATGGATCAAGTATTTATTCACAGACTGCTCAGTATATAAGATGTTATCCTCCTAATTTATCTCCTCCCCAAAAGACTGTCTACCAAACTGTATGTAAATGAATTTTTCTATTTACGTAACTATTAGTGCATCTGATCACTATGTGACATCCTGTGTTGTACTTTTCAGTTGCTATTTCTGTCCATCTGAGAAACCTTGTATCTTTACCAAACAAACTCGAATTTGTTCCTGGGTACCCACTTTGTCGGAGCAGAAGAATAACTTTCTCCTAAGATCTGAAAAGTGTTTAAAGCAGACTCTACAGCTTGGGAACTCCTAACCTACAATCATCCAACATCCCACAAAGTGATTACATGCAAAAGGGATACTTGCCACAGCTATAGTTTTTATGAAAAGAACTTACGATAAAAACAGCCCTGGAACAGCTAACAGTACTAGATTGAACACTAAAAATTTGCTAAAAGGGTAGATCTTATATTAAATGTTCTCACCACAAATAAATCTTAAAGGAGTAGGGAGGAAACTTTAGGACATGATGGATATGGTTATAGCCTTGATGGTGGTGATGGGTATATACTTACATTAAATAAGTACAGCTTTTTACATGGCAATCATACTTCAATAAAGTGGCTTTTTAACAGAAAGTCCCAGGTCTGGAACAAAGTAGCCTCCCCAATCCCCATCCCCACCATGATCACTGAATTGAGCAGAATCCAAGATAGTGGAGTTTTTTGCTTTGTTTTGTGTTTTAAGAAAGCTCAGATACCAAAGATAAGTAAAACAGATTTAGGGGTAAAGGTGATAGAACCAAAAATTAAAGAGATTTTTTCCCCCTCCAAACTGACAGAGATGGTTTTAAGAATTTTCCAATGATCTTTATGCTGCTTCCAGCTTTAAAAAGGCTGTTTTATTCTTCTCATTCCTTTGCCCTATCTTAAATGCTCCTTTTTTCTTTAAAGCAGCTTCATTTATGGGTGCCTGAGTAGCTCAATCAGTTAAGCATCCAACTCTTGGTTTCAGCTCAGGTCATGATCTCAGTTTTCATGGGTTCAAGCATGCATTGGGCTCTGCCCTGCTTACTTGGGATTCTCTCTCTCTTCCTCTCCCAGTCACACTGTGTCTGTCTCTTTCAAACTAAATGAACTTAAAAAAAAAAATTTTTTTTTTTTTTTTTTAAGTAAAGCAGCTTCATTTATAAGCTTGGCCTTAAACTATAAGCCTGAACCAACCCTTGGGACTGAAATTTTCAAAACCACCATCATAGCAACTATCTTTGTCCCCAAATAAAGTTATCCACTCCTGCTCCTTACCAACTGGGCACAGCTGTCTCTACAGCTCAATGACTTTTTTTTTTTTCTTAAATCAGTGTGCCTATTTAGTGAAAGCTATTAACTTAATCAAGGACAACCACACATATCAATTACTAAACGTTTAAAATATATTTCTAAACAGAATGGGCCGACTCAGTCACAGTAACTGCTGATCTCCATAGTAGAGCAACCCACAAAGACACAGCACTGATTTTTTTTTTCCCATAATCAGGGGTGAAAAATATACAACTTATTTCTGAACCAAAACCACAATTTCTGCAGTTTAAAATGTTTCACTGCCAATATGGCCCTGGTAGAAATTATGTATTTTATTCCTTAAAAAAAAAAATTAAAAAAATTTCCTAAGACACTAAATCATCAATCTGGAATGTAGACTCTGAGCACAAAGCAGCTCAGTTCACCTAAAAAATAAAGAAAAATTTCCCATCACCTGTCTCAGTAGGGCCTGAAAGGAGAGAAGTAGTGTGGGGAACCCCTGCTTTGGTATGGAGAGTCACGGCCCCTTGACCCAGACCGAGACCGTGAGTAGCCATAGCTGGTGCTTCTCTCTGGATAAACTCGGATGTAGGAAGTTTCACCCTGAAATTCAAACAAAAAGAGAGAAGCAAAATGTAAGACTCAGAAAAATACAGCACACTAAAACTTAACATGGCTGCCTGACAATAACAGTTAAGTACCTAGCACTTGCTGTTTGTCGGACATGATGTCATCTCATTAAATCCTCACAATAATGCTATCACGTAGGTATGTTCAACAGTGCATTTCAACCATGAGGAAAACAATGTTATAATCTATTCCAAGGTGACAACTACACGTCATAAATGAGCTACTATGATTAACATATCTGAATTACTACCACTGACTCCTGAATCTAAGAACTGGAAAGGGTCTTAGAGGCCATACAGTTCAATCCCCTGCCACCTCATCTATGCATCTGAGGATAGGTACCTATAGGAGAAGCTAACCAGTATTCAACACCTCTCAGGTGTCCGGACCTGGGTTAGATACTCATAATTTAGATACTCATAAGTTAGCTTCCTGGCAAGTCTTATGAGACGGTACTATTATTGTCCTGTTTTGCATATCGAGGAACCAAAGTTCAGAGAATAATTCTGCTGAGAAATAAATGAGTGGCAGAGGAATCACGCCTACAGTGGCCTGTCTTTAGGTCCTTTGCCCTCAGCCAACACTCTCACAGGATCTAAAGATGCTAAGATGAATGGAGTCAGATGTGGAATTCCCTAGGTGAAGTCAGTAATTGGATTTATCCTTACTGAGACTCTGCTTTGCAGTGTAACTAAGGACCAGATCTTGTTTTGTTTTTGCTCCAAATTCAGGCTGAGTAAAAGCAATGTTAAGCTGTGTACTTCCCAAGCCATAAAATTAGGAAACTGTATGAATCCTTAGAAAAAGAAATGGACCCTTGGGGCGCCTGGGTGACTCAGTCGGTTGAGTGGCCAACTCTTGATTTCAGCTCGGGTCATGATCCCAGGGTGGTGGGCTCAAGCCCCAAGTCCATGCTCAGTGTGGAACCTGCTTTTAAGATTCTCTCTCTCTCTCACTCTGCCCCTCTCCCCTACTTGTGCTCACTTGCTCTCTCTAAAAAAAAAAGAGAGAAAGAAAGGAAACCAGGAAGGAAGGAAGGAAAATGAAATGGACCTAGAAATTCATGTCCCCAGACATCGAAATCCTATAGTAAGTCAGGACAATTATTACCAGAGGAAAAAAAAAAAGTCCAGTTGGTCTGCTGTTTGGTCTCAGTCGTATCAAAAGGACAGTCAACATGTGAATCAGATAGAAAGATCCAAAGTAGCAGCTGCCTTCTTGAAAGGAAAGACATCAAAAACTAAGTCTGGAGAGTAAGGTCATTATAAGAAAATGCCAAGGTGGCTAGGGTTTCAAAGAGGATCCTATACTACTTTGGGAAAGGAAAAATGAATTATACAACTTGGCCCAATAGCAATACCTAGAAAAGCTGAGATGATGAGGCTGGCTTGCAGAGCCCAGACTAGACCCAGAGGAGGGACAACCATAATGATTAGGTTCACAGAGGTACACTGCAGATTAAACCAGTTGTGAAAGGGATGGTATCACAGAATAGCTCACCACATTATGACAGACTGCACCAGTATTCTCTCCGGGTTAAAAATACTATGACTGCACACTTCTCTTGTTATGACCCTGCAGGGCTTAGGCATGATAAATTCCTTGACTCTGTCCACTTAAGATAGATCTTTAATGGTACTGTGAGATCATTAAATGGCAAATGCACAGCCTGTTGCTACTGCTAGATCAGCTTCAGGTGGAATGGCCGAGGCGCAAGCTCAACAGAAGGGGAGAACCCACCTCATGAGAGCGGAATTTGGTGTCATCCAGTTTACGCAGGGCGTATTCCATGTCTTCTTTTCGGAGATATTCCACCATCCCCATTCCATCCTTCTGCACATCCGCATAACAGACATCCCCCGCTTCTCGCATGTGATCCTTCAGATCCTGCCAGCTGCCTGATGGAGGAAGTCCTAGGCATGGACATAAAGAGGCCATATCCTTCAGCCACGTTAACTGACCCGTTAAGAGCCAGCAATACCTAGGGTCCCTTTTTTCCATCAATTACGCACTACTTTTAAATCCTGAGGATCCCCAAGTCCTGAACCATAGGGACATAAACCCAGAAAAGCGCCCTAAACTATGTGTAGTAAACCATTGTAAGAAGCTGGTCCTAGGCTAATTTTCCAAAGACCAAGCCTTTCCAAAAGAGCAAGAAGCCTGCCCCATTATAGGTTTGGTATCTCTGAGATTCACAGCCTTTCTCTATCCTTCGTATTTAATATCAAACTCCCAAGACTTTGAGTTCTAATTTTTTTTCCATTATGAAATCATAAAATCGGTACCAACTATTTCTTGCTTACTGGGTTCTAAGAACATGGGAATTTTAAAACTATCCAATGAAGTAACCAAGGCATAGCTGAAGGTAACAACACAACAAAAACCTGAGGTTTGTTTTCTTGTAGGAGTGAATGACTGACAAACTAAACAAAGTACCTTAAAAGATCACCAACATTCTTCAATACAGTGGGGAAAAAGGTAAGACTCAGACGCTAAAACTAGTCGGGAATTATACAACCCTACCTGATGTCATGAAAGGGAAATGTGCTCCTGCTCTCAAAGGCTGTGTTTACCGCTCACAGCTCAGGACTGCAGCCATTTCCTAATAGTTTTCTAAGCAGGATTTCAGAGCAGCATGGAGAGAAAAAAAGATATGTATGACATCCTAAAGGAGGGAATAGAGTTCTGGGGTTACAAAATTACAAAGGGACACAAGATAGGCAGATACTGAGAGGATCACTGTTAAGCACCATGGGAGTCTGCTGGACAGTGTGAAATTCATATCTAAAAAAGTGCCAGGTTCTTCAATACATTTCACTCCACCATGGTCCTAAAATGCCCCTGTAATGTGCAGAAGCCCCCAGGTCTTCACCACTGTATTACTATTTTGAAAAGAGGCATAAACCTCTGAGCTTGGCATTTCATCACTTGTCAATACTAGACATTTCATTCTGTATCATTCTATAATCTGCAATACAATCCCTAAAACTTCAAGGTGTTCTGTTTTCTTTTTTATATAATTCCAAAGCCACCACCAAAATCTGGCCTTTTTCATGATCCAAGGCTGAGCAGTTATTCAAATCTGGCTCCTGGAATGTCTAGCAAGGCTGAAACCTAGTACATTCCAAAAGAAAACATCTACAGAATTCTAGCTCACGGGGTTTTGCCATGTTCTCTCTCAACAGTAGAAAACTCCTTTATAAAAAGCAAATTTATGTTCTACCAAGGCTGCACTACCTTGCAGTTTCATTTGCAAGATACCTGCCTCAATGGCAAGACCACAGGGCTTCAGACTGTGCACAGTTTACTGAAAAGAAAGCCCATGTTTCATGCACTGAAGAGTAACAGCTAACATTTCTTGGAAGCCAGACTGTGTGCTAAGTATTTTACATGCATCACCTCATTCAGTTCAAAAAGAACATACCTGAAACAAGAACTCGGAAATCAGATCTTCTTGTAGGAGGCCCATTCCTCCCACCGCGGGGCCACCCACCCCGACTGCCATAAGTCCTGGGGAACTCCACACGAAGCCGACACTGGCCATAATCATAACCATTCCTTCCATAAATTGCATCCTCAGCATCTCTGCAAAGAAAAGTTTGTGGAGTTAGTGCTGCCTAGGAGGCTGACTGACTTCCCAGTGAGGGGCATGAATAACAAGTATAAAAGGGAAACCTAGAGTTGAGAAAAACAGTCTTGATGCACT